CAGGAGGGATACAGTCCAGCATCTGAGGATAAGGATGAGCTGAGTGTGGGGTAGGGTCCTGGAGAGTGGGAATCGGTGACCAGAATACTACAGCAGGGTTTCCCCAGGGACTAATCTGTTTTCTACTCCTAGCTGGATTTAGAAGAGGGTGTGGAATAAGGACATCAGATAGATCTTGGCTCATAGCATAGAACACCAGAAAGATATTTACTTGTGTTGTGTTGGCAGTACAAAGACATTTGACTGTGTGGATCATAATAAAGTATGGATAGCACTGAGAAAAATCGGAATTTCAGAACAGTTAATTGTGCTTATATGGTACCTGTACATGGACCAAGAGGCAGTCATTAAAACAAGGAAATACTGAGTGGTTTAAAATCAGGAAAGGTGTGCATCAGGGTTGCATCCTTTCAACATTACCAGTCTGTATGCTTAGCAGCTAATACAAGAAGCTCTATATTAAGAAAGAACATGGCATTAGAATTGGAGGAAGGCTTATAAACAATCCACAACCTTGCTACTGAAAGTGAGGAGGACTTGAAGCACTTGAAACACTTGCTGATGAAGATCAAGGATTGCAACCTTCAGTATGGATTAAAACCGAATGTAAAGAAAACCAAAATGATCACAACTAGACCCAAGATAAGATCCTGTTTATCTGAAACAAGAATGATGTTTTCACAATTTCATCTTGCTTGGATCCAAAATTAATGAGCATGGTAGCAGCAGTCAAGAAATCAAATGATGTATTGCATTAGACAAATCTGCTACACAATACCACTTTAAAGCATTGAAGATCAATGATGTTACTTTGAGGACTAAGGTATGTGCGTCCGGCCCAAACCATGGCATTATCAGTTACCTCATGTGTATGTGGAAGTTGGACATTGAATAAGGAAGACTGGAGTAATTAATGAATTTGAGGCATAAAGCTGATAAAGAAGAGTCTTAGAAGACATACAGCCAGAATGCTCCTTGGAAGCAAGGATGGTAAGACTTTGTCTCACATACTTTGAACATGTTGTCAGGAGAGACCAGTCCTGGAAAAGGACATCATGCTTGTTAAACTGAGAAATGATCGAAGTTATTAAAGATTTCATCTTGCTTGATTTTATAATCAATGCTCATGGAAAGAGCAGTCAGGAAATCAAATGATGCATTGCATTAGGTAAATCTTCTGCATAAGGTATCTTTAAAGTGTTGAAGAGCAAGTGTGGGTAAAGTGGAGGGGCAGCGAAAAAGAAGAAGTCCGTTATAATGATAGATTGGCACAGTGGCTGCAACAATGGGCTGAAATATAACAACTGTGAGCATGGTGCCGGACCAGTCAGTGTTTCATTCTGCTGTGCTTAGGGCCACTGTGAGTTAGAACTGCCAACACCTGCCCTCCATCCCTAAATTTTCATCATAATAATACATGATATTAATATTGACCAACACCTCATGTGTATATGTGCCAGCCACTGTTCTAATCGTTTGGCCATTTTACAGAGAATATTGAGGCACAAAAAGATGAAGTGACTTGCCAAAGGTCATCGGGGATTATGACATATTGTTTTATGGTTTCAAAGTACTGTTTGCCAGTCTATACACCAACACACACACACACACACACACACAAATCTATCAAAAAGACCAGGCGCTAACTTCCCTTCGAGGTGACAGCAGAGTAAGTTGGGATTCTAGAAGATAAAGTTTGGGCCCATCCAGCAAGGGTGAGCCAGCCGACAAAGTTCTGTGTGGTTCCAGTGGCACAATGTCCTATGGAGATACTGCAGAGGGCACGTAGCAGAGGAGTGTCCATAGTAGACTCAGGACAAGCCAGAGTTGGCTCCTAAGGCTCCATCAGCCCCGACCTGCCTAGTTCTCTGTCAGTGCCTTTGTTGAAGGCTCAGAAGGCAAATGCTCGCTCAGGGAGAGAAGCAGCTGAGTGAATTCTCGGGGCAGAGCTGTGATTGTGAAGGGAGGTACTCCTTCTCCCAGAACAGGGGCTGGAGGCAGCATAAAAGGGAGGGTACTGTTGCCCCAGAACAGAAAGCCAGTGACCCAAAGTCAGGCGTGGAAAGACAATCTGAGATGAGCACTGGTCATAAGTTGAGTGAGCCCCAGGACAGGGCAGCCAGCAGGCTTGTCTGATGACCGTGCATGGTTGGAGCTGGAAGCAAGTACAGCAAGAAGCTCTCTAATAGGCCCCTTTAATGGCTTGGAGCCTCTGCTCCTCATCGATGCCGGGGATAGTACTATGCACCTCACAGGGAGGCTGTGAGGTTAGGCAGATGACAATGCTGTGCAATGTGGAAACCACAGAAGGTGACTCCACTCCTGGAGAGCAAGGGTGGCCATAGGAAGACAGAGCAGGGAGGGACTTGTATGTGGCAGGACAGAGGAGGCGGCGAGCTGGAGACCACGCTCTGTTTGGTCTGCAAGAGCAGAGACTTTAGGCCAGGTTTTGTGGGGCAGGCCTATGGGAACAGAGCAGAGAGTTTGTATGGACCTTGCATGGCTGGGACTGTAGGGTAAGAGTGCAGGGATGTAGGTCAGCTCAAAATCAGGAAGCTTTTCTTACCATCCAAGCAATAAATAGAGCCAGTGAACCCAATGGCAAGGAGCTCCCAGATCTTGTAGGAGCACTGAAACTCCAACTGGAGATGGTGAGGTGGGGTCGAGTGGAGTGAGGGAATAGTGTAGGTCCCCATAGTGGGGTCTGGGAGAGTGGTAAGATGACCTTCCTAGCCCTGGTGAGCCTTGGGATTCTGGCCTCAACTTTTAGTCATCCTCTAACAGCTGGTGTCTCTCTCTAATTAATCATCATCATCTTTAAGTGTCTACATGCTACTAATAGGAGCCCTGGTGGTGTAGCGGTTACATGTTGGGCTGCTAGCCTCAAGGTCAGCAGTTCCAAACCACCAACCACTCCTCAGGAGAAAGATGAGGCTTTCTACTCCCATAAAGAGTTACAGTCTTGGAAACTTCTGGGGCCGCTGTACCCTGTCCTATAGGGTCAATATGAGTCAGAATTGACTCAATGACAATGAGTTTCGGCGTCCTTTTAAATATGCTATTAATATCCCTGGGTGGTTGGTATAAGCAGCTAATACACTCAACTGAAAGGGTCCTTTCCAGATGGCATCAGAAGAAAAGCCTGGAAATCTACTTCTGAAAAATTAGCCAACGAAAAAGACATTGGAACATATGTATGGTTGCCTTGTGTTGCAATCAAGTAGGTGGTAATTGGCTATGTTACAGAAATGGAGGATCAGGACATGATGCGCCTTGCCAAGGTCAGACTCCCAGGTCTGATATAAAGCCCACTCTCTCCTCCTCCCAGTTGAATGGAGCCCAGGGATTTTCCTAGGCAGTGAGACAGAGAGGCTAGTCACATGGAATCCCTTTGAAATGAGGAAAAAGCATTTTCCTTGGTTTAGGCCGGTCGCACAGGAGTGTTCTCCCTGACCTGTGGTGGAGCCTTTAGGTCAGAGGTCCCCGTCCAACATCTAGAGCCTTCTTACGCTTCCACTTCCCAAACTTCATAACTGGACATGTGCCCTTTCTACTCTTCTACCACATGTTTCTTTCTCGTAGTTTACAGCAGGCCTTGGGGCCAGCACCAGCCCTCAGCTGTCTTCACTGGCTCCATATCAGCTTGTGGCTCCCACCACCCTGGCCTCCTCTCTTCAACTTTGACCAGCTGCCCTCAGGTTTTCCCAGCCCCGGTAGGGGACCCAGGGTTTGGACCCAGGGCTTTGGCTAGGGATGGAGGGAAGCAACCTCTCTGCTAGCCAACGAAGACACTTCTGCCAAGGAGAGAGACGTGCAAGTGAGGTGTGGGAGAGTTAGAGGAGAGAAAAAGAGAAGCATGTGGCGAGAGTGCTGTGAGAGGTGGTGGGAAGACCAAGAGAGAGACAGGAGGATTGGGACAGACCTCTTAGCCTCCATAAAATTTCCCGAGAGACAAAACTCTATGCTGATTGGGGGCAGGGTACATGTGCGTGAAAATAAGAAGTGAGCGGGAGAACTAGCTGTCTAACAGAGAAGGAGCTCCGGCGAGCCTAACAGCAGTCTGGAAGGTGCCTTGAACATCATCCCGATACGCTCCACATCGCCTCACTTCACAGACGGGGGAGGCTTCTTGAGGTCACACAGTGAGAAAGTGCCATGATGGAACTTGCAAGTCACCTCCCTGCTCTGTGCCTGTTTCCTTGTTGGAAAACCGTGATGTTCCATCCATGTACTCCCTCAACAAGCATGTAGGCACACCAGACCAGAACATGTGAGGGGCCCCCACGCGCTGCTGCGAACCTCCCGTGCAGCTCTGTGAGTATCCAGGGTAAGCATCCCATGTTACAGCCTGAGGCTGTGCCAGCAGAGGATGCAGTGAGGACACCCAGCCAGGGAAGAACCCTGGGCATTGACAGTCAGGAGATGTTGGTTTGGGTTAAGCTCTCCTGAAATGTGTGTCTTCTTTGCTTTGGGCCTAAGTTTCCTCCTCTGGAGAATACTTTTACCCCCTGTCCAGACTCTCTATCTGAGGCTTTTGTGAGCTTCAGGTAGTAGCTGCTCTGAGCCCTGGGAGTGGCAGAAGTGATGTGCAGTGGTTTCTACACTCAGGGCTCCTGCATGTGCAGCTTGGTAAAAGACTCGAGGCCTCCTCCACTGCCCTGGCCCCAGCGCTGTACTCCGGCAGGAGGCAGGAGAGTCTGGTTAGGGAGTGAAGGTACTTGGTGACTATATAACCCTAAGTTGAGTGTCTGTCTCAATCCTCCTGTCTCTCTCTTGTCTTCCCACCACCTCTCACACCGCTCTCACCACGTGATTCTCTTTTTCTCTCCTCTTCTCTCCAACTCTCCCCACACCTCGCTTGCAATCTCCCTTTGTTTCTCTTCTTGCTTCTCTGTGCATCTCTTCTAACTCTGTCTCTCTATGATGCTGGTCTCTCTGTTTCTATCTCTCCCATGCCTCCTTTCTACATCCTTTGGACCTTCTCTTCCCATCTGCTGCAGAGACCCCTGGAAAAGCCCGATGGCCTGGATGTGTCTGACCAGAGCAAGGAGCACCCACAGCACCTCTGCGAGAAATGCAAAGTCCTGGGCTACTACTGCCGCCGAGTGCAATGAGCCAGCCACAGTCTCCCTGCACCGTCCAGAGAAGACATCGCCTCCACTGAATTTCTCCATGTTGCTATGTGTCCTCATGTGTGGGGTTGTCCTCGCAGGCCTGCAGGTCTGAGCAGGGGGCCTCCTCCCTAGGAGTCTTGTCTCATTTGTGTTGACAAACAGTGTTACTGACATAACTGCCCCACCACCAACACAGAAGGCAGGGTCTCTGGGGCTCTTTACTGGGTGGCCTGGGGTCTGTGTGGAGGAAACACAAGTGAGAAGAGGTGAGTACACAGGACCCAAAGAAGCCCTTTGTGCTCCTGTAGGCTCTCTCTGACGAAGACACTCTTTGGGTTGAGCAGCCATGTATGGGCTCACTAAATGTACTGTGAACCCCAGTGCCTGAAGGGGACCATTTCCCCAGGACTGGCCAAGCAGTCTTTCCAGACCCAGAACCTTACAGTTTGCCCTGTGTGAAATGCCACTCTCAGAAAGCCTATTCAGGCAACCATGCTGAACTGACATCTGTTCAAGCAGCTACAGGAGGTGGACATCTCTGCTTCCTATTCCTGCTTACCCCCAAGCCTGGCCCCTTCTGACCTCACTGGCATTGCCCTTGTGCGCTGCAGGCTGACTCTGTGTACCTAGATAGGCCGAGGTCAGGAAGGAGAGGCACAGAACACTGGGCAATGTGCCTGGTGTGTCTGCTGTGTCTTGGGGTCCATCTGGCAGCAACTCACTCACCCATGGCCAGACACATTTCCCACGTGCTTGGGTTTCATCTGCCCATTCCCCTGCCCTTCCACCCACTCTAGGAATGCTTTCCTGATTGAGGGGGTAGGGCCTATTGTGGAAGCCCACTCTGCAGGGAGGACACAGACTTAGGGTTGAGTTCTGGGTCCTCCTGGGATGTGCTGTGCAACTTTGGGTGAGGATGTCCCTTTTCCAGGCCTCCGTTTCTCTATCAGTTCAATGAGCGAGTGACACTAGAGAACAAAGAGACCTGCTTTAGTTCTGATGTTTTAGGATTTAGGCCTGGTGCCTATTCCTAGGACAGAGAGCTTCTCTTGGCGTTTCACCAAGGATCTTAGGGCACCCTGAAGCCACAGAACCTCTCTCTGTAGACGGGGACAATGGATTCCTGCCTCCCATCGGAGCAGAAAGGTTTCATGACCTGTAACGCTTGTCAGGTGGACTGCTGTCCTGGCCGGCCAGTGAGACCGTGCTCTCCTCTCTCCCCAGGGAAATGCCTCATTTTCAGTGTCACCCATTTCCTTTCTCTTAGGGAGAGGGAGAGAAACCG